CGACTTGACCGTTACCTGTTGGGGCTACCTGGGCCGCTTTCAACCGTCGCGACTCCCACGGTGAAGGCGTCACCGCTACGGCTCCTCTGTTGACACAACAAAGCCCCCCCCCCCTCACCGCCTGCCTCGAGACGAATTCTCGGGAGAGCCCTTGCTGATGCTGCTGCTGCTGCTGCTCATGCTGATAATAACAATTACATTGATCGAGCGCTTTTCATCAAGGATATCAAAGTGCTGTGCAAGACACAGCAGCAGCAGCAGCAGACACTCAGCATAAAAATAAGATTACAAATACATGTTTAAAATCATTTACTAAATGAACTAAACGTTCAATACGCGGAAGCGTATAAATCGGTTTAAGGCGCATTTTTTAAATGTCCGCAGACCGATGATGATGTTAATTTGAAGCTTTCGTGACTGCAGGAATCCATAATCTTTGGTTCTTTCGCTAAAGTCACGTAGATGGAAAAATAACAATAAAATAAAGTGAATTAAAAATAAAAATGATAAAAATAAAATATAAATCTACGTGACTTTACCGAAAGAACCAAATAATAAGATGTTGTTGTTGCTGCTGCTGATGTTGTTGTTGCTGCTGATGTTGCTGCTGCTGATATTGCTGATGTTGTTGATGTTGCTGTTGCTGCTGCTGTTGTTACTGCTGCTGATGTTGCTGCTGCTGATGTTGGTGAAGCCAATAATCATCGACTGCAGGTTGTTGGCGGGAGAGGCGGAATTCGTGAGCCGTGATCAAACATCAATGGCGGTGACAAGAACACAACGACGCTTACCCAAAGGAAACGCACACCGATGCCTATCTGAATGCAGATTCGCATCATTGCCAGCACAGAAATCCTCTCTCATCAAGACGCTCATACGTCGGGCGACAGCAGTGTCAGATGGTGAAAGTCTGAGCAGCGAGTTTGAACATGTTAATAGAGCTCTGCAATTAAATGGCTACAATGATGCTCAATTTAACAGAGCATTGAATGCCAAACCAAGATCGAACGGCAAACATGATGAAAGCGATCGTCTTATTAAAACAATAAATAAAATATCATACATTGTGGGAGTAACTAACAAACTAGCTAGAGTTTTGGAAAAACAAAAAAATCAGAGTATGATTTGGCACGGTACACAACATAAAAAACTAGTATCTTGAACTGAAGATAAATTGCCAAAGTTATCAACAGAAGGTGTGTATCGGATTAATTACTCGTGTGGTGAATGCTACGTTGGACGGACTAAAAGAACACACAAATAAAATTAAATACTCACAAACACAACTGTCAGCCAGTTGCAGAACATGCTTTGCCAACAAGGACATTCAATTGATTGTGATAACATTGAAGTGTCGTGTAAAACTAATTATTACTGGCCCAGACTTAATTTGAGAATCTATTGAGATTGAAAGAAATAATAATAATTTAACCGCTCTGACAGCTGCAGACTTAATGCGGCCTGGAAGCGTTTTGTTACAATTATATTCCTCGTAACGGCGACGACACATGCTCATCAACTGTGATTAACAACCTCTTGTTGTATCATTACCCCCCATTCCCTCTGCTCTCCGCCTCTGTTTGACGTCGTCTCGCTCTGTTCGCTACAGGAAGCGACGTGGATCGCTTCGCCCGTCATGGCAAAGCGCCCGCTGATGATGTTGGTCGGTGCAGTTGTCAGCGAAACGTCGCGCAAAACTCAAATTGTAAACGCTGTGGATGTACTCTCCAACACCCCGGTGGGCTGAAGTAGTGGTGACTTATTGTTTACGTGACAAACCTCACTGGCTGTGTCGGGTGGTGGAGGGTCACGACACATTAATATTCCTGCCCGCTAACAGTAATTCTCCTTTTTTTCTTCTTGGTTCTTTCGGTAAAGTCACGTAGAAGGGAAAACAAAAACAATAAAATAATAAAAATATAAAACAATAAAATGAAACGTCTTGAGAATGTTATTGTTTTATATTTTTATTATTTTATTATTTCCCTTCTACGTGACTTTACCGAAATAACCAAGAAGATGAATCCCTGCAGTCACGAAAGCTTTAAATCGAAATTTTACAGTAATTCTGTTTTTTGCTGTGGCTGTCCCACCTGATGACGGAAGCTTGTTTTGCCTCCGAAACGTCGTGATTTAATGTAGTTATTTTTATTTTTTATTTTGTATTCTTATTATTATTTTATTTCACCTACGTGACTTTACCGAAAGAACCAAAGAGTATGGACACATTCATACTTAAGCGATTTAACCCAAACACCTTTATGATCAAACAGCAAGGAGTTCCGAATGAATGTTGGCTGAAGGGCGTACACTACTTATATATACTTATATATATACGTATATATACTTATATTTTTAATAATAATAATAGGATAATAATACCGCAATACTTTCACGTCTTACAAACAAACATGGCTTTTTGTGTGTTTATGTTCACCGTACAATGGTCGGAGAGTCAAACAATCTCGTGGACGACGACGACGACGATGATGATGAATCGGATAAAAATGCGGACAACCCTCGGCTCAAATCTCACTCTCGCCCAAACCAGGAGGTTGGTGGCCTCCAAGATGGGAACCACCTCGAGTGAGCGACTAAGCGCGCCCTGAGCTGAGCTCTGAGTGGGGTTAGGAGCTAAATAAAGAAGTGGATCTTTTTGTGTGTGTCCCCTCTCCCCCCGGAATGGATGAAAGACTTGAGACGTCGATGATGACGATGATGCTGCAGCTTATGATGAAGATGTTGCTGATGTTGATGCTGCCGATGATGATAATAGTGATGCTGCTGCTGATGATGATGCTGATGCTGATGATGCTGCTGCTGATGATAATAGTGATGCTGCTGATGATAATAATGATGCTGCTGATGATGTTGCTGCTGCTGATGCTAATGATGATGATGCTGATGATGCTGCTGCTGATGATGATAATAATGATGCTGCTGCTGATGATGTTGATGATGTTGATGCTGCTGCTAACGATGCTGATGCTGATGATGTTGCTGCTGCTGATGCTGCTGCTGCTGATGATGCTGTTGCTGATGATGATAATAATGATGCTGCTGCTGATGTTGCTGCTGCTGATGCTGCTGCTGATGATGATGCTGCTGCTGATGATGATAATGATGATCGACCAAGTGCATTGCAATTCTCGAGGACGAGACACAACTCCAGATGTATCCGGGTCGCGCATTCTCTCCCAGTGTCCCCATACTTCTCGCGGTGTCGTTTTGCAGTAACACTCGAAGATGTTTACGTTTAATGTGCGAACGTTTTCACTTGTTTTGTCTCTGTTATTGACGCGTGGCCATCGTTTCAGTGTGTGTTTTTTGTACTGTTGTTACTTGTTAAAACATTGTGGAATTGTTTTTGTCTATATATCTATCATTTGGTGTGTGTGTGTGTGTTTGATTGTGCTTGCGTTGAGTTAACTTCATCTTGTTTTATATTTATATAATAAAGATCGTCTTCGCTCCACGCTCACGGCGCTCGATAGCAGAGTGCTTGTGCACCTCCAGTTTTGCAACAGTTGGCTACGTACGGTGCGAAAGAAGATCAACGTACGGACAATGTAATTCAGTGGTTGTTTTTTGCACGTGTTTAAGCGTTGTGTTTGACAGTGGCTACACTGGCATCGTTAACTTGCACGCACGACGACTCCAACACCGCGCATTTGTCAGCTGTCTGAAGGCGCCTCGTGGTGCACAGGGCCGCGCATTAAACAGTGCGATGTGGAGGCAGTCAGTTAATCACCCTCCCCCCCGTCCTCCACAACTTCCCTTCCACGCTATGAAGAAGGACCATTCACCGAAACGTCGACCTGGTGACGAATGGGGTGAGTTGTTTGGGTTGCTGCATTGGTAGTTGTGTACAAGCACAATTAACAACAATACTTAATACAATAAATGGCTTTCAAAATAAATACAAAGTATACAACATCACGTATTGGACCTCTCTGTGCTGTACAAAAGGGCCATTGCCCGAAACGTCGCCGATTTTAAATCTTTATTTTGGACGCCGCAGTGTAATAGACAATTGTGTTGAGTTTGTATTTATTCTTGTTAATTGTATGTGCGCACCACTCAATGTCAAACGCAGTGTCAGATGTCTGTTGTCAATTGAATCAACACGCGAATCAACACGCGAGAGAGTATTTGGATGCTGCTATACATTTCCAGCTCAGCGGGTCCTACCTGGTTAAATACAAGAACAACAACAAACACCTCTACAGTTAAATTTCGATTTAAAGCGTTCGTGACTGCAGGGATTCATCTTCTTGGTTCTTTTGGTAAAGTTACGTAGAAGGGAAATAATAAAATAATACAAATTAAACATAATGAAATAATTCTCACGACGTTTCGGCCACAACGCAAGCAGCCGTCCTCAGGTGAAGAACAGGTCTGTCGGAAAGACAGCGTCTGAAACGCTGTCTTTCCGACAGACCTGTTCTTTTATTATTTCCCTTCTACGAGACTTTACCGAAAGAACCAAGAAGATCTCTACAGTTTGTAGTTGAGTTTAATAACTTTCCAAGTCGGCGACGAAGCCCGTCCAACCAGCGTCGTAGGCGAATTCACATTTCACTCGATTAGATGTGGCCATTGCCTCCGGAGATTCACCACTGCCTTAGCAAGTCGCAGCGTGGCAAGAGACACGACGCACGAGAGAGAGAGAGAGAGACCAGGCAGACACAGTGCGCTGTTTGAAAATGTATCAACGGAGTGCGTAGCGACAACAACGACGACGTCGATGATGTTAGCGGCTACGTCGGTGATGGAAGTCGGCATTCCGCGTTGGGTTAGATGGACGCGTAGAGATGGAGGAGGAGGTGGAGGAGGAGGAGGAGGGGGGAGTGGGTGGTTGGTGGGTCGCAGCACCGCCCCTCGAACCGCGTGCTCCATCCGCGCGGCGTATCACCGCGCGGGGGAGCGCTCCGCGCGGCGCGCGCGCGCCCCGATAATGCCCCGGGGCGCGCGCGGAGCAGGATCTCAGTCGAGCGAGAGAGTCGCTTGTGCTGAGCTGGAGGAGGAGGAGGAGGCGCTCACTCGCTCGCTGGCTCGGACACACGCACGTCGGGCAGCCTGGGTCGTGGTGCTGTTGAAAAGCTCGCCAGCAAAGGCTGCGTCGGCTGCGTCGGCAGCGGCGGCGGCGGCGGCGGCTTCTCGTTTTGTACGAGTTAAGAGAGCAGTTACATTTGTTGTTGAAGCGAGTCGCTTGCCTCCAGGTCCGTGAATGAGAAAACGAGAAGAAATCTGCGGTAGCCGCGCAAATAAAAGCAGCAGCAGCAGCAGCACCACCAGCACGGCGGAATGACTTTGACGCAGCCAGGAGTGTTGAGTGCGCGTTAGGGGGGTCGGCAAGGACGAGAGGGACAACTTTCGGCGTGAGAACGTCGCCTTGTTGTTGTGTCTTGAAGAGACACGGGACTGCCACTTTACACACACGCGCAGGTACGTTGGTGTGCGTGTGTGTATCTCGGTGTGTCTCGGTGTGTGTGTCTCTCTCGGTGTGTCTCTCTCTGTCTCTCTCGGTGTATCTGTCTCGGTGTGTGTGTGCCTCGGTGTGTGTGTCTCTCTCTGTCTCTCTCTGTGTGTCTCTCTCTCGGTGTGTGTGTGTGTCTGTCTTTCTCGGTGTGTGTGTCTCTGTGTGTGTGCCTCTGTGTGTGTCTCTCTCGGTATCTCTCGGTGTGTGTCTCTGTCTCTCTCTGTCTCTCTCTCTGTGTGTGTCTCGGTGTGTGTGTGTCTCTGGCTCTCTCGGTGTCTCTCTCTCGGTGTGTGTGTGTGTGTGTCTCGGTGTGTGTGTGTGTCTCTCTGTGTGTGTGTGTCTCGGTGTGTGTGTGTGTCTCTCTGTCTCTCTCGGTGTGTGTGTGTGTGTTTCGGTGTGTGTGTCTCTCTCTCTCTGTGTGTTTCTCTGTCTCTCTCGGTGTGTGTGTCTCGGTGTGTGTGTGTGTCTCTCTCTGTGTGTGTGTGTCTCTCTGTCTCTCTCGGTGTGTGTGTGTGTGTTTCGGTGTGTGTGTCTCTCTCTGTGTGTGTCTCTCTGTCTCTCTCGGTGTGTGTGTCTCGGTGTGTGTGTCTCTCTCTGTGTGTGCGTCTCTGTCTCTCTCGGTGTGTGTGTCTCGGTGTGTGTGTGTCTCGGTGTGTGTGTCTCTCTCTCGGTGTGTGTGTGTCTCTCTCTCTGTCTGTGTGTGTGTGTCTTTCTCTCTCGGTGTGTATGTGTCTCTCTGTCTCTCTCGGTGTGTGTGTGTCTCTCTCCGTGTGTGTGTGTCTCTGTGTGTGTCGGTGTGTGTGTCTCTCTCAGTGTGTGTGTGTCTCTCTCTCTGTCTCTCTGTCTTGGTGTGTGTGTCTCTCTCTCGGTGTGTGTGTCTCGGTGTGCGTGTGTGTCTCTCTCGGTGTGTGTGTGTCTCTGGGTGTGTGTGTCTGTGTGTGTGTGTGTCTTGCTGTGTGTGTGTGTGTCTCTCTGTCTCTCTCGGTGTGTGTGTGTCCCTCTCGGTGTGTGTGTCTCTCTGTCTCTCTCGGTGTGTGTCTCTGTGTGTGTGTGTGTCTCTCAGTGTGTGTGTCTCGGTGTGTGTGTGTCTCTGTGTGTGTGTGTGTCTCTCAGTGTGTGTGTCTCGGTGTGTGTGTGTCTCTGTGTGTGTGTGTGAGTCTCTCTCGGTGTGTGTGTGTCTCTGGGTGTGTGTGTCTGTGTGTGTGTGTCTCTGTGTGTGTGTGTGTCTCTGTCTCTCTCGGTGTGTGTGTGTCCCTCTCGGTGTGTGTGTCTTTCTGTCTCTCTCGGTGTGTGTCTCTCTCAGTGTGTGTGTCTCTCAGTGTGTGTGTCTCGGTGTGTGTGTGTCTCTCGGTGTGTGTGTGAGCGAGTTGTGGAGTTCTGTCAGCGGGCGTGGTGCTGGCCACCCCACTCCTCCCACAGTGTCCAAGGCCTTCGTAGGCGCTGTCGCTCGCGAACAGCACTTGTGCCCCAACAGTCTGTTGCATGCGACTGTTGTTGCTGTTGTATGCGACTGTTGTTACATGCGACTGTTGTTATCTGACAGTTGTATGCGACTTGTATGCGGCTGTTGTTGTATGCGGCTGTTGTTGTATGCGACTTGTATGCGGCTGTTGTTGTATGCGGCTGTTGTTGTATGCGGCTGTTGTTGTATGCGACTTGTATGCGGCTGTTGTTGTATGCGGCTGTTGTTGTATGTGGCTGTTGTTGTTGTTGCATGTGACTGTTGTTGTATGCGACTTGTGCTGTAAGTTGAACACGGGTGGCGCGTGCGTCGCAGGGGCTCGCGAGCGGCACTTGCCTCCAAAAGTCTGTGAAGGCTATACGGGCGATTCTTTGTACTCTACCGGTACTTGTGTACGTGTGGTTTAACACGTAGTAGACTTTGTCGCGAGCAATTTTTCTTCGTCATTTAAAGTTGTTCCGGTGGGTTCGAGCGCGCGTGAGTTGTGTTGTGTGTTGTGTGGTGTGTGTGTCGTGCAACCCACCGCCACACAGCCAAACTCGTAAGATCGCCACGCGAACGGCACGCGACAACTTTAGCAAGTGGCTGAGTTACGCACGCGATCTAACCCACCAACACCGACGTGTAGTAGTTAGTTAGTATGTGTGTCTCTCCCATTGTGTTTGTACATGTCGGTGGTGTGTCTGTGTGTGTGTGGCCGTGTTCGTTGTGGGAGCGGTGGCGCAGCGGTTAGCGCGCTGCGTTATGAACCTGGCGACACGGGTTCGATTCCCGCTCACGGCCAACACCAGTGACGATTATCCGAACCGGTCCTGGGCCTCCCCTAGGTCTACTCGGCCTGAAATGAGTACCTGGTGCGGTGTGTAAACATTGCCACTGGGGAGACAAAGACGGTTGGGCGTGGTGCTGGCCACCCACCCCCTCGTGTACCGTTCCGGCCTTCATAGGTGCTCGCTAACAACACTTGCCCCTACAGTCTGTTAAGGCTATACGGGGGATCTTTGTCTTTGTGTTCGTTGACGATCACGGCCACTTGAACGAGGGCCCCAATTGCCACTCCACGTGGACGCACGTTCAGCCGTAAGCCAACGGCGCTCATCTCAAGCTAAACGACTTTGCGATTTAAATTGTAAAACAAGTGGAGGCCCATCGCGAACGTGGCAAGCAACCTTTGTCAAGGTCACCGCTACAGGCCACAGGGCTGTGTGAGTCTCTGTTGGTGGCTTGGGCCACGCCGAGTCTCCGTGTGGCCGTCCCCACGCAGAGCGCGACTTTGATTCGGACATCACAAGCCAGCTGACTTTGACCGTGGCCCGGAGAAACACCGCTCGACTTCCACGAAACACTCACTAATACTGTGTGTATGTATATATACATATATATACATACACACACGCGGTATTTTTATATATATATACATAGTATTATATATATACACAAGCAATATATCCGTTCGCGAGAGACCACTCATTTCAATGGACACGCTCAGGACAAAATAAATGGCACGGCTTAGATGGCATCTTCGGTGTGTGTGTGTATAGGGATAGTGTGTATCGTGATGAGTGTTTTGAGAGTGTTTTGAGAGAGTGGTAGAGTGTTTTGAGAGTGTTTTGAGAGTGTTTTGAGGGAGTTGTAGAATGTTTTGAGAGTGTTTTGAGAGTGTGGTAGAGTGTTTGAGAGTGTGGTAGAGTGTTTTGAGAGTGTGGTAGAGTGTTTTGAGAGTGTGGTAGAGTGTTTTGAGAGAGTGGTAGAGTGTTTTGAGAGTGTTTTGAGAGTGTGGTAGAGTGTTTTGAGAGTGGTAGAGTGTTTTGAGAGTGTGGTAGTGTTTTGAGAGTGTTTTGAGGAGTGTGGTAGGAGTGTTTTGAGAGTGTTTTGAGAGTGTGGTAGAGTGTTTTGAGAGAGTGGTAGAGTGTTTTGAGAGTGGTAGAGTGTTTTGCGAGTGTTTTGAGAGTGTGGTAGAGTGTTTTGAGAGTGTTGTAGAGTGTTTTGAGAGTGTTTTGAAAGTGTTGTAGAGTGTTTTGAGAGTGTTTTGAGAGTGTTTTGAGAGTGTGGTAGAGTGTTTTGAGAGAGTAGTAGAGTGTTTTGAGAGAGTGGTAGAGTGTTTTGAGAGTGTTTCGAGAGTGTTTTGAGAGAGTGGTAGAGTGTTTTGAGAGAGTGGTAGAGTGTTTTGAGAGTGTGGTAGAGTGTTTTGAGAGGGTGGTAGAGTGTGTTGAGAGTGTTGTAGAGTGTTTCGGGAAGAGTGTTTCAATGAAGTGGGAACAGAGCAGTGGCGATGCTCCGAGACGACACAATTAGTTCCCGACTCAAATGTTCACGTAGATATGTACAGCCAACCCTGTGTATATACATACACACACAACTGTGTGTGTATGTATATACATACATACACAACTGTGTATATATATAATCATACACAACTGTGTGTGTGTGTATATATACACAGGAGATTTAGTGTAACTCCTGAATAGTGGCGGTGTATATGCTATCAGTGTATCTATATGCGCGTGTATCCCACGCGTGTTTGATTTAGCAGCAACAGGCGTCATTTGCTTGACGGTGTTTGCAATTGTGACTGCGTCGAACGAGTGCGCACACACCCACACACACACTGACACACACACACCGACACACACACCGACACACACACACCGACACACACACTGACACACACACACCGACACACACCGACACACACACACCGACACACACACACTGACACACACACACCGACACACACACCGACACACACACACCGACACACACACACTGACACACACTCACACCGACACACACACACCGACACACACACTCACATCGACACACACATCGCATCACAGGCGAAGAGACACAGATGCCCCCCGTAGAGGCTTTGACAGATCGTTGGGGGGCACATTGTTCGCGAGCACCTATGACGGACGGGTTGGCTGCCAACACCACGCCGCCTTTGTCTCCCCAGTGCTGATATTGTTGGTCTTGGGCGGGTAATCGAACTCGGCTCGCAGGGGATCGAAGCACAATGCGCTAACCACTCAACTATCGCTCCCCACGTATACAAACACACACATAGATGTATATTTAAAAACTCAGACAAAGATCTCCCGTGTAGCCTGTAACAGACTGTTGGGGCAAGTGCTGTTAGCGAGCACCTATGAAGGCCGGAACGGCACACGAGGGGGTGGGTGGCCAACACCACGCCCGGCCGCCTTTGTCTCCCCAGTGCGGATGGTTTACACGCCCGATGCAGATATTCATTTAAGTCTGAGTCAACATAGGGGAGGGCCAGGACCGGTTCAGTAGGGGGGGGGGGGTATGTAATCTTCCTTGCCAATGTACTGATGATAGCCAAGATGCACGGACTCGATCTCGTGTTTAGTTTCTTCCTCTCTCAGCGCCTAGGAGATGTCAACTACCTCGCCTGGTATACAGGAGTTCGTGGGTTCGATCCCGACCCCCGGCGCCTGTTGTATATGTGGAGTTTGCGTGTCTCTCTCGTTCATCATCATCACGGTGGCTAGGAGATGTCAACTACCTCGCCTAGTACACAGGAGGTCGTGGGTTCGATCCCGACCACCGGCGCCTGTTGTATATGTGGAGTTTGTGCGTCTCTCTCGTTCATCATCATCACGGTGGCTAGGAGATGTTAACTACCTCGCCCGGTATACAGGAAGTCGTGGGTTCGATCCCGACCCCCGGGGCCTGTTGTATATGTGGAGTTTGTGTGTGTGTCTCTCTCTCTCCCTGTGGTTGCGTAAATTTTTCCCCCGGGTCCTCCGGTTTTTCCCTCCACATTTCGAATCGACATCAGCGCGTTTTGAGTATTTGGCTTGCTCTATATTTCCATACGATGATGAGCCACTTCGTTGAGCTATCATTGTGTGATAGCCAGGTCGCATCTGACAACAAATATAGCTCAGTCAGCCTTACCTGGTGAAATAAAAACATGTGTTTAGTTTTCCATAGGACACCTTTTAGCGTTTTTTCATCTTCAACTCGGTCATAACCGGTGCTGAACTTCAGCACGAACAAGTCCTGCGGAGAGCTGTTCCAGGAGTTGGTTTCACACGCCGTGCAGCATCGTGCAGAGGAGGTTGCAGGGATGTATGGTACGCGTGGGTACAATACCAGAGGGAGCAATGTGGATGGGCGAATGTTGTATTCTAGTGGTAGTGCCGTACGTCGATAACCCACCGAGGCAGCCCCTATCGCAGCATTCCGGAACATATCGGGCGAGAAGTGAGACGTTGCAGGACCCGCTCGTGGTAAAAGTGTGCACTCGCTTTGCCTTCGGTACTATAGGGGAGTGATTGGTGATGTAAACTCCACATTCCTGTGGCGGGACACGGCCCATTTGAATGACGAACATATAGAAAACCTAAAAAGCAAGCGGCGTAGCTTTTATTGACGGATTTTATTAATTTTGATGTTTTACCTACGTGACTTTACCGAAAAAACCTAAGAATATGAATCATTGCAGTCACGAAAGCTTCAAATCTAGAATTTATTGACGGAGTAGTTGCCAACAACTTTCTGAGTCCAGAACGCAGAGAGTTGGTTAGTTTTGTGCCGTGTGCCGAGTAAGTAAATAGTATATATATATTTTAAAAAACTAAAAAAAAAACACGCTTTAATGGAAGAACTCCAGGAAGTGGCCCCGAAGCTTGCCATAACGTAAGGGACCGTGGCCAATTAGACCCAAGCCGAAATATAACATATAAAAAAAGAATGTTTAAAAATATATATATGATAGAATATAGCATTGTCATCAGTATGACATAAGTATACCAAGTTTGCAGTCGATACCACATTGGCAAGTGGTTTAAAATTGAGTTACAAGATTTGAGTAGACAACAACAACAGACAGAGTGAGTTAAATAAAAGCGTGTAAAAAAAACTAAAATCTCTGCGGGAATGATAACTCGTCGCATTGAACTCGTAAGGCAGGGAACAATCGGCTGCTATCCGTGTGCGCTGTCTGCATCCATAGGATTGCCGGTGTAAGGCACTACCACTAGATTATACGGAAGGCCTATCCGGCACTAATTACCTGGTTAAACAATTAAACGTGATTGGACTTGAACCCTATCTTACTTGTACCCTGTATTCACATCCCAGTAAGCGTTGAACGTCGGTCCAGTGGTTCCCACCTCGTGCCAAAGCAGGCTTGCTTCCTGGGGATAGTCGTTATCGCGAGGACAAGATCGGGCGAGGTGGATGCGACGTTCCAAAGAAATGGTCCGGAACAGCGTTGCGGACTGCTGCTGCTGAGGTTGAGCGCCGTCCGTGCAGTGCCGGATTATGCTAGGCGCGGGGCCTGTAGCATTATGTTATAAAGGGGACCTACATTTTAAAAAGGACACAAATATTAAAACTCATAAATTATTAACTGGCATAGTAAAGAAATGGTATTGTTTAATTTGCTACGCAACCAGATAATACGACAAATCGCTCACCTTAAAACACCCAGTCGTTCATAAAAGTCGAAGGCAGTATAGTACTATAGTAACAAAGCAAGTGCAGAATCACTGAACTGGGAATTGATAGCTTGGAAGCATTTAGCGCGGGGCCCTTGAAAGTGCGGGGCCAGTAGCTCGATATGTAGTAGCTAATACATCTGTAGCTACTACACATGTAGCTACTACATATGTAGCTACTTGTGTAGCTACTTGTGTAGCTACTACATCTGTAGCTACTACACATGTGTAGCTACTACATATGTGTAGCTACTACATATGTAGCTACTTGTGTAGCTACTTGTGTAGCTACTACATCTGTAGCTACTTGTGTAGCTACTACACGTGTAGCTACTACATACTACATATGTAGTAGCTACATCTGTAGCTACTACATATGATGTAGCTACTACACATGTGTAGCTACTACATATGTAGCTACTTGTGCTACGAGGTCACCGGTTACCGCACGACAGTCGTAATCGCGACGTGCGGCAGCGACGTCGCCCAGAGCTCGCACGGAAAAGTCGACTCGAAAGCGACTTTCGAGTCCACGTCAGGAACTTCGTCAAGGTAAGTGGTGGAGGTGGTCGTGGAGGTCGTGGTGGAGGTGGTGGTGGTGGTCGTGGTGGAGTTGATCGTGGAGGTCGTGGTGGTGGAGGTGGTCGTGGTGGTGGAGGTGGTCGTGGTGGTGGTGGTGGAGGTGGTGGTGGGGGTCGGGTGCGTTGCCTTTACATCGCGGCGCTCAGCTGATGTTAACGCTGCTTCAGCTGCCGTCACTCGTCTCGCCCGACTGCTCTCGCGGACGATGCCGCTGCTAATCCTGATACTAATCCTGACGCTGCTGCTACTGCTCCTGCTGCTGCTGCCACAGATCGCCGAGTGGAGCTCCCGGGGCCGCTGTCGCCGCGGCCGACGATGCCCAAGGTGGTGGTCGCCCGCGACGGGACCGGGGGAGACGACGCGACGAGACGGCCCGAGAGCGGTGAGAGACGCGGGGGGAGGGGGGGTGAGTGTGGGGTGAGTTGGGTGAGTGTGGGGGGAGTGGAGTGTGGGGAGTGTGGGGTGAGTGGGGTGAGTGGGGTGAGTTGGGTGAGTGGGGTGAGTGGGGTGAGTGGGGTGAGTGGGGTGAGTGGGGTGAGTTGGGTGAGTGGGGTGAGTGGGGTGAGTGGGGTGAGTGGGGTGAGTTGGGTGAGTGGGGTGAGTGGGGTGAGTTGGGTGAGTGGGGTGAGTGGGGTGAGTGGGGTGAGTGGGGTGAGTGGGGTGAGTGGGGTGAGTTGGGTGAGTGGGGTGAGTGGGGTGAGTTGGGTGAGTGGGGTGAGTGGGGTGAGTGAGGTGAGTGGGGTGAGTGGGGTGAGTGGGGTGAGTGGGGTGAGTGGGGTGAGTGGGGTGAGTGGGGTGAGTTGGGTGAGTGGGGTGAGTGGGGTGAGTGGGTGAGTGGGGTGAGTGGGGAGTGGGTGAGTGGTGAGTGGGGTGAGTGGGGTAAGTTGGGTGAGTGGGGTGAGTGGGGTGAGTTGGGTGAGTGGGGTGAGTGGGGTGAGTGGGGTGAGTTGGGTGAGTGGGGTGAGTGGGGTGAGTGGGGTGAGTGGGTGAGTGGGGTGAGTGGGGTGAGTGGGGTGAGTGGGGTGAGTGGGGTGAGTGGGGTGAGTGGGGTGAGTGGGGTGAGTGGGGTGAGTGGGGTGAGTGGGGTGAGTGGGGTGAGTGGGGTGAGTGGGGTGAGTTGGGTGAGTGGGGTGAGTGGGGAGTGTGGGGTGAGTGGGGAGAGTGGGGTGAGTGGGGTGAGTGGGGTGAGTTGGGTGAGTGGGGTGAGTTGGGTGAGTGGGGTGAGTTGGGTGAGTGGGGTGAGTGGGGTGAGTGGGTGAGTGGGGTGAGTGGGGTGAGTGGGGTGAGTGGGGGGAGTGGGTGAGTGGGTGAGTTGGGTGAGTGGGGTGAGTGGGGTGAGTGGGGTGAGTGGGGTGAGTTGGGTGAGTGGGGTGAGTGGGGTGTGTGGGGTGAGTGGGGAGAGTGGGGTGAGTGGGGTGAGTGGGGTGAGTTGGGTGAGTGGGGTGAGTTGGGTGAGTGGGGTGAGTTGGGTGAGTGGGGTGAGTTGGGTGAGTGGGGTGAGTGGGGTGAGTTGGGTGAGTGGGGTGAGTTGGGTGAGTGGGGTGAATGGGGTGAGTGGGGTGAGTGGGGTGAGTGGGGTGAGTGGGGAGTGTGGGGTGAGTGGGGTGAGTGGGGTGAGTGAGGTGAGTGGGGTGAGTGGGGAGAGTGGGGTGAGTGGGGTGAGTGAGGTGAGTGGGGTGAGTGGGGTGAGTGAGGTGAGTGGGGTGAGTGGGGTGAGTGGGGTGAGTTGGGTGAGTGGGGAGAGTGGGGTGAGTTGGGTGAGTGGGGTGAGTTGGGTGAGTGGGGTGAGTGAGGAGTGTGGGGTGAGTGGGGAGTGTGGGGTGGGTGGGGAGTGTGGGGTGAGTGGGGTGAGTGAGGAGTGTGGGGTGAGTGAGGAGTGTGGGGTGAGTGGGGAGTGTGGGGTGAGTTGGGTGAGTGGGGTGAGTTGGGTGAGTGGGGTGAGTGAGGAGTGTGGGGTGGGTGGGGTGAGTTGGGTGAGTGGGGTGAGTGAGGAGTGTGGGGTGAGTGAGGAGTGTGGGGTGAGTTGGGTGAGTGGGGTGAGTTGGGTGAGTGGGGTGAGTGGGGTGAGTGGGGTGAGTTGAGTGAGTGGGGTGAGTGAGGAGTGTGGGGTGAGTGGAGAGTGTGGGGTGAGTTGGGTGAGTGGGGTGAGTGGGGTGAGTGGGGTGAGTGGGGTGAGTTGGGTGAGTGGGGTGAGTGGGGTTCGTGTGGAGTGAGTGGGAAGTGTGGGGTGAGTTGGGTGAGTGGGGTGAGTTGGGTGAGTGGGGTGAGTGGGGTGAGTGGGGTGAGTGGGGTGAGTGGGGTGAGTTGAGTGAGTGGGGTGAGTGAGGAGTGTGGGGTGAGTGGAGAGTGTGGGGTGAGTGGGGTGAGTGTGGAGTGTGGGGTGAGTGGGGTGAGTGGGGTGAGTTGGGTGAGTGGGGTGAGTGGGGTGAGTGGGGTGAGTGGGGTTCGTGTGGAGTGTGTGGGGTGAGTGGGGTGAGTTGGGTGAGTTGGGTGTGTGGGGTGAGTGTGGAGCGTGTGGGGTGAGTGGGGTGAGTGGGGTGAGTTGGGTGTGTGGGGTGAGTGTGGAGCGTGTGGGGCTGCGTGTCGGAGGCGGGTGGAAATCGCCAGTGTCGTGGTTTGCGCTTTGCGCTACAAACTCGGCGACCCCGAGGTTGAATTCGCACTCAGAGTAAGAAGACTCATCACAAGTTGATTGGCGCTCAGAGTAAGAAGACTCATCACAAGTTGATTGGCGCTCAGAGTAAGAAGACTCATCACAAGTTGATTGGCGCTCAGAGTAAGAAGACTCATCACAAGTTGATTCCCCACCGAGCAAAGCCCGTTTGAGCTAAAACGCTCTCTTTTCTGTTTTACCATGGCCGACTTCGGCCCGTAGACAACATCAAAAGCATTCCACAATTACCACCACCAATTACAGCGGTGAACATTTGAACCGGTCTTGGGTCTTCGCCCTAGGTCGACTCGACCTTAAATGAGAATCTGGCGTGTACACATTAGCAATGGGGGGGGAGACAAAGGCGGCCGCGGGTTGTGGTATTGGCAGCACCCGTTCCCCCATGTGCTGTGTTGGCGTTCATCGGTGATCGTGAACACCGCTTGCCCCAACAGTCTGTTAAAGGTTACATGGGGGGTCTCTGTCTTTGTATGCACGTGTCTATGTGTGTGTGCGTCTTTGTGCCTGTTCGTCTGTGTGTTTGTCGAACTGATACGCGCACATGCCTGTCTAAAGACACGAACGCCTGCGAATATACATGTTCATGTTAGAGTATATATCTATCAAGACGTATTTAGACATTCTCTATGTGAACACGTCTCTGTATATATGTATGTGTGTGTATATACTTGCACGTCTCTGTGTCTGTATACACGTCTGAAAGCATATACATTTTTGTGGCTACGTGTGTGTTTGTATTAATGCATTTGTGTGTGTTTCCATGTGTTTGTGTGACTCTATTAATGCACTTGTGCGTGTTTTTTGTTGATATATAACTAACTGCGAATATGTTTGTGTATCTTCGTGTGTGATTCTGCGTTCCCTGTGCATAGCAGATGCGTTATTCACAGATGGTGCACGTGTATTATATCTGTGTAAAGGAAACGGGCGTTACGTATATGACACACATATTGTCTGTCTGTATTCAAACGGGAGTATCTGCATATCTGAGAAATGTCTCTATGCGTTAGATGACATTTGTCTATGTAATGAGACACACGCAGATCGTTATGTACGTGAGACATCTGAGTTCTAGCTATATGTCTGAGACTCGTGGTCTGTCTACGCGTGTGTCCGACAAAGGCGTTACCGACGATGCGATTGGCATTGACATCGCGTTATATCCGTAAGAAAACTCCAGCGTGATTTACGCCTTTTTCTATCGGGGTTTCTAGTAGGGCAGAGTTGGGTCTGACGGCGCGTCCGTGTCTGGACCTTACACTCGGATCACATCGCCCTGTGTGCTTGACACAAGCATCCGACATCTCTGTGCGACGATGGCTGGCACAATGCTTAGCGCCAGTGCGCTATGAACTCCACTTCCCGAGTTCGATTCCCATTGCTTGGGGGTCGAAACCCTCCCCCCCCTCTCTCTCTCTCTCTCCACGCCGCGTCGCTTAAGCGGGCAGGGCTGTTGTTTGGCCATACTTCACCACCCTGGTCAATGCGGAGATTGGGTTCGTATATCACTCGTCACTGATTGTGAGCAAATCGCGGCTTGGAATCGGTCGAAGGCCGTACGGGTCACGGCGCAGTGCGTCAACCACTGGGCCACCGCTCGCTCACTCGCTCGCTGTGTCCGTAGCCGCGTGTGTGTGTGCTGTGCTGTGTCTGGTACAATAGGGACACGTACGACGCTGCGCATTCTCTCTCGGCCATCGTCAGCAATTTCAGTTTATTCTCGAAAACTAAAAAATGTGCCCGCCATGGACGAGACGATTTTTATTGCGTTTGCGCGCGAGGAGCGGTGGCGCAGCGGTTAGCGCACTGCACTTGTGTATGTGCTCATCGGAGGCGCAGGACGTTGGAGGTGCCGGGTTCGTAGCACAATACTTCACGTGTAGTAGCTACATGTAGTAGCTACTACTACATGTAGCTACTACTACACATGCAGCTACTACACGTGCAGCTACTACACGTGCAGCTACTACACGTGCAGCTACTACACGTGTATCTACTACACGTGTGTGTAGTACACACGTGTAGTAGCTACTACACACGTAGCTACGTGTGTAGTAGCTGCTTGTGCTACTAGGAGAATCGGGCACTGTGTGTGTGTTGTGTGTGTCTTGTGTGTGTGCGTTGTGTGTGTGTCTTGTGTGTGTGTCTTGTGTGTGTGCGTTGTGTGTGTGTCTTGTGTGTGTGTCTTGTGTGTGTGTCTTGTGTGTGTGCGTTGTGTGTGTGTCTTGTGTGTGTGTCTTGTGTGTGTGTCTTGTGTGTGTGTGTTGTGTGTGTCTTGTGTGTGTGTGTCTTGTGTGTGTGTGTTGTGTGTGTGTGTTGTGTGTGTCTTGTGTGTGTGTCTTGTGTGTGTGTCTTGTGTGTGTCTTGTGTGTGTGTCTCTTGTGTGTGTGTCTTGTGTGTGTCTTGTGTGTGTGTCTTGTGTGTGTGTGTCTGTGTGTCTGTGTGTGTCTGTGTGTGTGTGTCTGTGTGTGTGTCTGTGTGTGTGTTGTGTGTGTCTTGTGTGTGTGTCTTGTGTGTGTGTGTCTTGTGTGTGTGTGTGTCTTGTGTGTGTGTTGTGTGTGTGTGTGTCTTGTGTGTGTCTTGTGTGTGTGTCTTGTGTGTGTCTTGTGTATGTGTCTGTGTGTGTGTGTCTGTGTGTGTCTGTGTGTGTGTGTCTGTGTGTGTCTGTGTGTTTGTGTCTCTGTGTGTGTGTGCGTGTCTGTGTGTGT